GTAAAGCCCTTCTATACGTTGCATCAAACCCCAAGCTTGCCGTGCCAATGGCCTCTGAAAAAGGAAAAGGAAAATCAGTATTCACTTTAAACAGTCTTCCAACTCTTCCCTAGGGGAAGAAGACAAAAAAGAAGAAAAGATACATAAAAGCTGCACCTGCTCAGAATCACCCCATCTGCGAAAAGCAGAGAATGATTGTAAACGAGCCCAAATGTACTGACCACCAACCGTGGCAATGCAATACCACATTTTCTGAGCAACAGTTAATCCAGGCCCTTCCAAACCTGTTCTTACTGCAGAAAGATAATGAGTCGCACAAGTTAAGGCTGTAGGTAAGGCTGCATGAGAGAAGGGATGTTTAAAGAAAAGACAATGTTAACCAAGGTAAAGTGCTACATGGATATTAGGATAAACTCTCCTAAACATGGTTCGGGACAGACAATGTTACTAAGGTAAAGTGTTCCAGCTTCTAAATGCATCACAAAAGATTTTGCCAAAATGAATAGATATAATTTTGATATAATATCACTGATGATTGCAGTCATTAATAAAATCAAGAACATAATGAAATTCAACAATGCAACTAGTTATGAACGGCAATAAAAAAGCACCAAAGCATGATGTGGTCAGCACACTAACATGGGGCATGTCATAATACATCAAACTCAATTGAAATAGAAATGAAAGAAACAAATTCAAACTAAACATCTATGAATACATATTCCTGCTCATGAAAAGTGAAATTCATGAAAAAACATGCTAAGTTAAATCAGTAATCATATCAAAGGATTAATATGAAGACAACATGGGCCATTAGCAATGCTCATACATAAGAAGACACTCTTCACACTATTAGCCCCAAAAACATAATGTCAAAATTTTCATAGACCTATGTGTCTTCACCTATACGGTCAACCTATGAGAAATTAAACCATTGAAGGCCAGTTTTGTAAGTAACAATTAGCACAAGAAGCAAGAGAGATCCAGACCTTCTTACCTTTGCTTCTAATTTCCATGGCACGTTCATCTCTATACCTCAGATTCATAAGAGCATTTCCTGGAGTAGGTTTATCTACCCAAATTGAGAACCTCCAAATGAGAAACTCAAGGAAAGCATCAAGTTCTGGTTCATATTGAAATAACATTCCTGGCTAACCCCAACAAAACAAAGAAATAAGATAAGATAATAGCACAATGGAATTTCATTTTCTGTACACCATCAATGCCTTCAATAGCAAAGGTACCTTCATCAAGGAGAAAACTTTAACCAACTGTTCTTTTAACATCGCTGACATCTCAATATCCAATCTAGCAGCGTCAAACTGATTAACTCTAGAAATTGATATCGGTAGCGTGGAATACTGCAGCAATTGACCACAAACAGTCAATAAGCTAATCTACAAAAGTTAAATAAAAGCAGAAATTGGAACAACCAGGAAAAATTCCAGCCTACACTCGGATATAATCTTAACCCATTTGCCCTTAAACAGAAGCACCAAAACTTTTGTATATAACTCTTCCATATGTATAACTAGAGAACTAAAAATTAATTTCTTCATTTTACTATCACAATGCAGGTCCATTCAGCTTTGTCAAATTATCCTTAATACCCAAAATTTATATTCCTTTTATAGAAAGGAAATAAAATGTTACCCAGAAATTTTCCAGAAACGAATTCAATAAAAACAAGTTCCCATGAATTCTAAAGCGCAATCAATGACTAACAAAATATATAAAAGGGAACCATAAAACACAATTTTTGAATTATTGGAAAAAAAAAACATAATTTATGAATTTGTGGGAGAGTCTTTAGAGGCAATTATCATTAATCGGACAGATGGAAGGAAAATCACTAGAGGGTATTCTCATTTTTTTGGTTGAACATCAAATAAATTTTCAGAATTCAAAATTAAAAAAAAAAAGACAAAAAGAGTTTACCTGATTAGAAAGAGAAAGAGAGTGCCAGTGAGGAAGTAGCTTTTGGTAAGAAGTAATCCAAGCATCTTCTTGTGGGGGTGCTGGTGGGTATGGATTGCTTCTAACACTAATCATTTGATGAGTTATAATATGGGTTTTCTTTGGAAAAATTATTTGATGAGTTATAATATGGGTTTTCTTTGGAAAAATTATTTGATGAGATGTTGAAGTCTTGAAGATGAGGAGGTGGTTTCGTTTCTTCCCTGGGCTCTGCCCTGTTTCAAAAAAATGCAGCCAAAAAGCTTTGAGAGGTGGAGTTAACTCGAAACTTGCAGCTATAGTTAAATTTGAGGGAGATGGCGATTATAGATTTTGTGTAAGGGACAGTCGTCTAAAGGGTATTTTTGTCTCACTAAGTATTATACTTGCTATAGGATAGGATTAAAAGATTAAGGGAGATGGCAAAAAATGAATATCAAACTTTAATTCTTTTATTTATAGCTTAAAAAACAATTTATTAGTTGTTTTTAGTTTTACCAATGAAGTTACGGTGAATGTTACAGTAAGTCTAATCTTACTATAAAGTCAATAAATAAAAATTTTAAAAAATAATAAAAACTTATTTAACAGGTTAACAGGTAAATAATATATATAATTTTTAAATTTATTCATTTTAAGATAACAATGTAGATAATTTTTAAATTTATTTAGTTTATTTAAAAGTTATTTAAGTTTTAATTTTATTTTATTTTTAACTTTAAACTATAAAAATATTATTTTTTTAATATTAAAATTATATTTAATTAATTAATATAATAAAAATTATTATTATCACTTATTACGTTAACTCTCACGTATTTACATTAAAATTTTAACTTTTTTAATTTCACTTTTATAAGATTTTACGCTAATTCTTACAATTTTATGTCAAATCATTTCAATAGTAACTTTTAACTATAATTATTTTTATTTTTATTATTATTTATTTAAAATAAAAATTTAAATATCGTTACATACTTTTATCCCGATAATATAAATATAAATGCTTATTTCTCATTAAAATTAGACTTTTTTACTTAATTAACTTATTCTATTAACTCTAATACATTTACGTTAAAATTTAAAATTTGGTTATTTCATCTTTATAAATTTTTACATCAATTGTTACAGTTTTATGTCAAGATTTATCTATGACAATTTTGAGCTATAATAATTTTTATTATTATTTTTATTTAAAAATTAAAATTTATATATCATTAAATACATTTAGTCGAAGAAAATATATTTAAATATTTATTTTTTAATAAAATTAAAAATTTTTTTACTCAATTAACTTGTTGCGTTAATTCTCACATATTTACGTTAAGATTTAAAATTTAATTATTCTACCTTTATAAGTTTTTAAGTCAACTGTTACAGTTTTATGTCAAAATTTATCTATACTAATTTTGAATTATAATTATTTTTATTATTTTTTTATTTAAAAAATAAAATTTATATATCGTTAAACACTTTTTGTCCGAGAATATATATTTAAATATTTATTTTTCACTAAAATTAGATTTTTTTTACTTAATGGACTTGTTATGTTAACTCTCACACGTTTACGTTAAGATTTAAAATTTAGTTATTCTATTTTTATAAATTTTTACATCAATTCTTACAGTTTTATGTTAAGACTTATCTATATCAATTTTATATTATAATTATTTTTATCCTTATTATTTTTATTTAAAAATTAAAATTTATATATCGTTACATACTTTTAGTTCGATAATATAAATATAAATATTTATTTTTCATTAAAATTAGACTTTTTTATTTAATTCTTATAGTTTTACTTTAAGCTTTTTTTATGTCCATTTTAAACTATAATTATTTTAATTCTTATTATTCTTTATTTAAAAATTAAAATTTATATATCGTTAAATACTTTTGTCTGAAAATATAAATTTAAATATTTATTTTTCACTAAAATTAGATTTTTTTACTTAATTGATTTGTTAAGTTAACTCTCACACATTTACGTTAAGATTTAAAATTAGTTATTCAACTTTTATAAATTTTTATTTTAGTTCTTATAGTTTTACGTTAAGATTTATCTATGTCAATTTTAAACAATAATTATTTTCATCCTTATTATTTTTATTTAAAAATTAAAATTTGTATATTGTTACATACTTTTAGCCTGATAATATAAATATAAATGTTTATTTTTTATTAAAATTAGACTTTTTTACTTAATTAACTTATTATGTTAACTCTTGCATATTTATGTTAAAATTTAAAATTTAATTATTCCACCTTTATAAGTTTTTACGTCAATTCTTATAATTTTACGTTAAGATTTATTTATGTCAATTTCAAACTATAATTATTTTTATCCTTATTATTTTTATTTAAAAATTAAAATTTATATATCGTTAAATACTTTTATTCTAAGAATATAAATTTAAATATTTGTTGTTCAATAAAATTAAATTTTTTTACTTAATTGACTTGTTACGTTAACTCTCACACATTTATGTTAAGATTTAAAATTTAGTTATTCCAACTTTATAAGCTTTTACGTCAATTCTTACAGTTTTACGTCAAGGCTTTTTTACGTCAATTTTGAATTATAATTAGTTTTATCCTTATTATCATTTATTTAAAAATTAAAATTGTTATATCGTTAAATACTTTTAGTCCGAGAATATAAATTTAAATATTTACTTTCATTAAATATACATTATTTTTACTTAATTGATTTCTTATGTTAACTCTCACATGCTTACGTTAAGATTTAAAATTT